TAGTAGTAGTAGTAGGAGTAGTAGTAGTAGTAGTAGCAGCAGCAGTAGTAGTAGTAGTAGTAGTAGTAGTAGTAGTAGTAGTAGTACTAGTACCAGTACCAGTACCAGTACCAGTACCAGTACCAGTACCAGTACCAGTACCAGTACCAGTACCAGTACCAGTACCAGTACTAGTACTAGTACTAGTACTAGTAGTAGTAGTAGCAGTAGTAGTAGTAGCAGTAGTAGTAGTAGTAGTAGTAGTAGTCGTAGTAGTCGTCGGGGGAGGAGGAGTAGCAGCAGGAGGAGTTGCAGCAGCAGTAGCAATAATACAGAAAGCAATAACAATAGTCAATAGTAGCAGCAGCAGCAGCAGCAGCAGCAGCAGCAGTAAGAGCGGCAGTAACAGTCGTCGTCATATCTGTCCCCGCCGTCGTCGGAATCAACAGAGTGTCTACGCAACCCTCAAACCTCAACCTGATTGGCCATTGCCCTAAGTGTTTAGCATGCTTTAACACCGGAGCGAGGTGGAGTACACCTTCTATAAAGTATAGTGCCTTACTAATTACTATAACTGCAATATGGTTCAGGGGTGTATTACACCAAAAATAGCAACTAATGAGGAGCCCTATGGAACAAAGCAAATAGCAGTTCTCCTTACTCTATATTGTATTTTCCCTAGGGCTCCAAGTATACAAATAGTAAGTCTATAGATACTACCTGCGTTGGGCTTTTTGGAGCCCATGGGGTTAGTCAATGCAAAGACTGGTTCTTTGGCACCAACAAGGCCGGCAGCTCAAAACCTCATGGAAAACAAGACCTGAAAGTACTCAACATGAGGGTTCTTGAGGGTTTAGGGTGTAGGGTTATTGGAGGTTTACGGTGAAAGGGATCCTGCATGAAGGTTCCCGTTTTCCTGACACTCCCATCTGCCTCCGCGAAGTAGTTCGAACGGCCTGCACTCTTTTCAGAAGGTCGCACGACCCTGCAACACATGGGAATGTCTTGACAAAGTTGGGCCAAGGTTTACCAGGTACTAGACCCTCAAACTGAACTTCTGAACACAAAACTACAACGTAAACTGACGTAAACCAAGCCCCCCCCCCTCCCAAGTCCGCAAAACCCTGAACCCTAAACATGCCTAAAACCTTAGCTCATTCCCCCGCCCCGAACCCTTAAACGAGTCCCCTGAACCCTAACCCGACGACCGCAAGCCCTTGAACCATAGTTCCATCAATGCAAACGCCATTAAGACTCTTCATAAAGCTAGCGCCCTATCAAACCCATATCTTTTATGCAGCAGGTGCAAAAACTCTGTATAACCCCTATGAAGCACTTGTCTATAAAGCAATAGGGAGGTTCGGAGCCTGGTGTTCGGGTGTTTCGGGTTCCTGCAAGGTTTGAAGAGGGGCTTAGGGTTTAGGGCTAGGCCCCTTGCGGTCTTGCGCCAAGGAGGCCGAACAAACGTTCAAGAACGAGCTTCTTGTTGACTGCAGGCTTCGCAGAGATCTCAGGTTCTATCCCACTAGACTCAACATTCTCGACAGGTGAACCCTACATCCTAACCCCCACATATCCTAAAGCATAACCCTATGAAGACGCCACCAGTTCAAAGAAGGTCTAGGGCGAGAGAAGCTGGTCTACGGTAGGTCCCATCTGCAGTTGACCGTGACAGAACCCTGGAAAGCATAAAAATCATGCATACCAGTAACAACGGTTCAAAACCCCTAAACCTCGAGCCCCAAAGACCTAAGCTGTCCTAAACCCTACAGTGCCCGTTTCTGCGCTCACCTTGAAGATCCGGGCGCCATCGCGCAGCCACGATGGCCGCAGAATCCGGGAGGCCAAACAACTTGAAGCCCTTTTGTACCTGTGGGGTTTAGGTTCTTCTTCCCAAGCATTGTGGGGACAGTTCCGTGAAGAATGATGTGTGTATGCATCTACTTTATAGGTATATACACACATGTAACACGGAAGCCTGCGTGATAAATGCCTAAGAGTAATTATAAGGCTTCAGCCGTGGTATCGCACTATACCACCCCCAAAGCCCTATTCTAGTCGTTCAGGCCCCTTTTACTTTTCTGATGCTCGAGCTTTGCCCCTCAAGGCTTTGCAGGGTGAAGTACGAGGCTTGAGGCTCGAGGGCGTTGGAGATGGGAATGGGAATCATCGTTCTTGCACACGGTTAAAATGCTTTCTGCTATTTTCTGCTTCAGGAGGACTTCAATATGCTAACCTCAACCGGCTGACATTGTTCAGCCTTTACAAAGCCGGAAACGACTGCTGGAAACATGGCTGCCCGAGCTAGGATGCCATGAAAGCACACTCGCAGATACAACGGACAACGCCTAGCAGAACCTTGAATCCTGAGTCGGTTCGACAAGAATGTACATCCTTAGAGTTTGCAGGTACCGGCAACAGTGTACACCAAGCCACCACCGCTGCAAAGCAGCTAACCCACACACTTCTATAATGGGACCAAACCAACAGAGAACATACACCAAATCCTCAACGCTAAGATCTCCGCTAACCCCAAAAATCCAAAGGCCCTGAGCCATAAACCTCTAACTCCGAAGCCCTGATCCCTCAAACTGCAACCCCAACCCCTTGACTGTGGCTATCGATTTCTTGCCCAAATCTTCCGCCTCACTCCATAGGTCAGAGTCCCGAAGCTTCTCCACCTGTCTTGACATGCAAGAAAACGGCTTTGGGGTATATTTATGTGATGAAAAAGAAGAGGACCGGTTCTATGAGTTCGATAAGGGCGCATTTCATTGTTGAGGGTCAAGTTTGCGGCTAACGCTTTGGCTTAGCGCAGATCCGACAAAAAAAAGTACACATGTAGACGCTGATTAGGGGCTTTCTTCATGGGACCCCGATGGCTGCGACAAGGATGAGAGCGAGTGCTCCAGGTCCGGTAGCCAAGCCCGAACTCTCCGAAGTGCTGTTGAGAAGATAAGACACACCCTCCAGCTTAAACCCTTAACGCCCTGAACCCTAAACCCGACAAGCCCTGAGCCCTAAAGAACAGGAGCCTGCATGAGACCTGTCTGAATTGACCGCTTGACTGCGAGAAACCGCGCATTCCTCTGAAGGAGCACTATGACAAGACCTCAACCCAACAACTGAATTCCCCCACCCCCCCTTTCCGGGCCCTCAGCAACAAACCCCAAACTTGAAACCTCAAGGGGCTTCGAAAGCTTGAAACCTCAATCGGAACAAATTCCCGAACTGATAGGTAAGCTTCACGATGTGCGAGTTCAAGCATAACGAAGCTCCGCTTGAGGCCATGCTCATTAACACGCAACAAGCATCTCAAGCCCAAGCCCAAAATCCAACCCCCAAAACCTAAACCCGCAACCCCAAGCCCAGCAACCCTTGAAGCCCGAGCCCTGAACTCCTAAGCCCCAACCCTGAAATATTGAAATCTCAAACCCTCAGATCAACCCGTGAAACATTGAAATATTACACCCTCAGATGCTCAGATGCAGAGTACCCCAGCCTCCTGTGCTCCTGAAGGTTGTAAGTCTCCAGTCTCCGAGTCAGCAAGGACCATACCTTGCTTCGCGCGCCAGGAACCCTAAACCCAAAAGCCTAGACCCTAAACCCCTAAAACCCTAACTCCTGTACCCGACAGCCCTGGACCCCATATGCCTTTGTTCGGGCTGGAAGGCTGCGCTCAGACGCGTGGCTTCGCGCTGCCGGGCTCGGGCCCGGGGTGATACAAGATTGAAGGATTGAGGTTTGCAGAGTTTTGGATCGAGGGCCCCTAAACTCTTTACCCCTAAACCCTACAAACCCTGAAACTTAGGGCGTGGTTGGGATAGTTTTAGAAAATATTCTAGCCACTATAGCTTCTATTCCTCGTTGGGTTTAAGTACCCATCAACATGTAAAATGTAACCCGACTATGACAAAGAAACCAGAAGGATTAGGCCGAAGCACTTCGGGTACGGGTTTCGAGCTCATCAAACGAAGTCGGTTTAGGCTTGTGGTTTAGGGTTTAAGGCACTCAGTTTCAGACTTGCTGTCGCGATTTAGGGATCGTAGTTTCTGGGCGAGAAACCCTACGCCTTATCCAAGGCCTTCTAAACGGAACTCATGACATCCCTAAACCCCTGGGCAAGCGGCTCATCACCCCTTTCTGCGCCGTCGCGGCGTTCAGCAAGAATCGCCTTGCGGGTCAAGATTTCCAGATAAACGCCCTAAGGGTTATAGAGGCATAGGGTTTATAGGGGCTTAGGATTTATAGGAGTTCATCTTGGTTTAGAGTTCTCGGGCTGGGGCTGGCAGCCCCAAAGGTTGAGAGTACCTACGTTGTACTGTTTTGGGTCTCTATACAAGGAAATACTCTTATGGTTCGTCTTCTGCTCAGGCACGTCATGCAGGCCCCTGAATCAGGTTCAAGGGTAGAGTCTGAAGTTGCGCTGGATTCTTCCAGGGCGTGACAGGTGCTACTTGGAGAGGCTCGAAACGTTCGACAGTGTAACCATGGATGGAGATGGGATGGAGGTAGGAGATGGTCTGCAACCCCACTATGATGCCAGTTGCTTCAACATGGGTTTGAATCTGTCTTTGGTGTTGCAGGAATGTTCAGGGTTGAGCTTGGGGTTGGAGCAAGTCAAGGGTGTAGAGCACGTCAGGAGTACTGAGGAACCCAAGGCCCGGATGACAAAGGGCAGCAGCTGGTCTACATCCAACCCACACTGTAGAGGTCTTAAGCGTGAGAATGGGGTTTTGGGGTCTACGACGAAAAAACTATCTAGAGACCATGAGGGCAAACTTTGTTGTAAATATTTGCTACCAACATGATGTGCAACGAAGGATTTTGAAGGAGCTGCAGAGCTTGGGGAGCCACAAAGCAGGCAAAGAAGGCCAAGAGCCATAGCCATAGCTGCCATGACTGAGGAAGTACTGGATTATGGGGTGGCTTAGGCATAGACCGAGTCACTTTGTGTGCCAGATCTTAGGGCTGCGGGTGGCATCGAAGCAAATGCTCATTGGTGCCTTGTCCCTGCGTTTTCATGCTCGATTATCGAAACACTGCTGAAGCCTGACCAAGTCTTGCAAAACCCGAGCTCCACTGTCTGGGTAGTAGAAAGGTCCCCAAATGTGGTTCGCTTTGCTTCGTGACCACTGGGCAGTGCCGAAAACTGGATATTTGGCTTTGTTGCGACTGTGGTCAGGTGTCTGAAACTCTTGGGCAATCAGCACGCAGTTGTCTTTGGTATACGTCGAGGAGTTGTCCAAGCGCTCGATGGACCAGACCCAATCGGAAGGGCCCGCTGCACAATGCAGCGGCACACCTGAGTAGTAGCATCGTCCACCTTGAAGCCATAGCATGCCTAGCAGGTCGTCCAAATCGAGTGCAAAACTGCCGTTCCAATCGGAATTTCTAGCTCTTTGCCGTGCGGTAGTGAGTAACCTGAGCCCGTGTCCGCGCATAGTCTGCAGCCAGGCTGATTCCATATCCCTGGCGCACTCCTTGCAACGGTTTTGTAGCCCATTTCTGCTTGCAGATTCTCGAAAGAATTGCGATTGCTGCTTCCAAGTGCCGCAACGCCCACACAGCCACCTGCCCTCTGCATCTGGTCCTCGAAATCGCCTACGTGAGCCTGCTCGGGTCGGAGAAGGGCGCAGCCTTGCAACAGCAATGCCTTCCTGGAGCCGTTGCAACTGCACCTGCTCTTCTCGAACACGGGCCACCTCCTGGACTTTCTGCCTGGACCACTGCGCAGATCCACCAGAAGAGCCCTCCTCGTTGCACGTCTTGTGGACCGCTGAATTGAACTCAGCTGCAATTAAGCAGCAGTTCTCTTTGACGTAGCCTTGTCGGTTGTCGATCCTTTCGATGGAAGCTCTCCAGTGTGAATGCGGCTTTAACAATTCCATGGGTACACCAGAATATGCACATAGGCCACCCTGCTCAAGTACGAGGTCCAGCAGATGGCCCGCATTTACATCGCACTGCCAGCCTTTCTGGCGGTCTCTGTAGCGAGCGTTGTGAGCCGCTCTCACACTCCAGCCTCGCAGTGTCGATCTATACCGGTAGTCGGAGGAGGCATGTGGCAGCCCCTTGTTTCCAAGCCTCTGCGGGCTTCTGGCTTCCTGAACCAGGCGCGCCAGGTCTTCACAGGCAGTCGGACTCGGCGGTTTGTCGTCGTAGACCACGGAAGTTGATAGCTTCCGGCCCACCTTACATACAGCTGGCTTTCTCCAACAGATCAGTGCTGCCAGGGTCCGCAAAGATCCAGCTTCGCTGAGTCGCTTCATGAGTCGCAGTGCGATTCTCGGCAGGAAATTCCAGCCTGCGCAATGGCCGGCACACAGCAATTTTCACACAACGTCTGCTATCTGAGGGGACGTCGAGCCGCTCGGCGCAAGACCCGTGATTCAGAACTCTACTTAACCCCTAAACCCTTAACCCTAACTGGAGCCCTACACACTGCTTTGCATGCGCATGCCGCCCATCAAGCAGTCAATCATGATGAAGCATCGGTGCCAACTGCCATGACAAAGTTGTTGACAATGTGGAACCCTCGTTGAAGACCTGATTCTGCGAAGTTTGTCGGGCCTCGTGCAATGCCTGCTCAGTTATCTCCTGTTTACACTGTGCTCTGCGCAACTTTTCCGACGATCCGACACAAATTCGATCTCACACTGGTTGGACGATATTCACTTATGACACGACGGTCGACCGAGGAGCACCTCGGGAAAGAGCGTCCCGAGACAGATCGAGAAATAGATTGGTGGATATGTAGGTAGCACATAGATAGATAGACAGATACATACATAGATACATGGATAGATCGCTAGATAGATTGATCGATTTACCGATGGAAAGGTCCATCCGGGCCAGAATCGTTTAGTGATCCGATGCATATACGAAGACTGCCTAGACGGAGGCAGTGCATATGTGAGACGAACGAACAAAAACACACCCACGAGTGTCATGCACCGAAGGTCCAAAGCCTGCTGCTATGTAATCCTTGTTGGAGGAAGGGGTTCATTGATCAGGCGTCCGCATCTAATCCGCTGGACATCTCAGTACTAGTTTATGTATGACTCGAACTTCCTGTATGAATTCGACCAAGAATGGAAAGAGCTCGACCCTGAGGAGCATAAACCTCTGCTGGGAGGATCGGCGATGGGATTTGAGGCTTTAGGACTGCAGAAATTACAGTACTTACTTACAGTTCGGAGACTAGGCGGGTGACATGGAAACTAATGTCCCGCAGCAGTCGCATTGAATTTCAAAATCAAGCTTAGTTGGTTTGGGTCTTAAAAGAACTGTGAATAGGTGTGGCAGTAGCAGTAGTGGTAGTCGTTGTCGTCGAGTACAGTAGCAGCAGCAGCAGCAACAGCGGCGGCAGAATTAGTAGCAGGGGTAGGCGTAGCCCCACGCCGTGCCCTCATCGTATGGAGTGTGGCTTCAGGACAAGCCCAACCGGCGAGGTAGTCCTTGTCTATTGCACTTCGCAACCCACAAACAAACGAAACCGAACAATATGGAGCCGCTAGACCGTTACGGCGACATCACAGCCAGGCACGAAACCAGAAGCCCTGAACCCTGCAAACCTACACTCTGAAGACTTGAAGCCTGATGCCTCATAAGCCACGGCGATACCAACTGATAAGCCCTGAGACCCTGACACCATCTGACACCCCCTTCAAACTGTGTTAGTAGCGACTGACAGACTTCTGCCAAGCCCTGTGGCACCTCTGAGCAGTCGAGAGTGTCGCGGCCACGGAGAGGTCTAGCGCCTTCGAGTTTGTCTTCGCTTTGTGCTGGGAGGCTGTTGAAAGGGTACAGTGTTCAGAGATTCGATTGCCAACTGAGGCAAGCCCCGAAGCCCTAAAACTTTCACTCGACTCACCAGTGACCAGACGTTAGAGAGAGCGTTTGGGGAGTTTAGGGTCATACGATGTTGTTGTGTCAAGTCAAAGGGTCTCAAACCTAATGCCGCACCTTCTACCCGAGATCTGGTAGACCGAAATATGACCATGGCTTCGTGTGACTGCCGCACTGAACATAATGATAAATGGAAAAGGGTTTTGGGGTACATTCAGACTTAGGAAAATGTAAGTATGTATTCAAGCCCCTACAGTATTGCAAGAATGACTGAGCTTATCCGTGCATCGAGGAACCAATTCTTCGAGATCCTGCTGGGAATCCGAATGAGGACGTCTTACGGACCGTCGACTGAAGGGTTCTGTGGTAAGTTGCAGCAACTGCCTACAGTATACGAACACCTGTACCAGAAGCGGCACGAAATCTCTGCTCCTGTAAACCCTACAACCCTGAGGCCCCCGGGCACCAAAAAGCTACGGCAAAATATCACCTCTAACTCCCCATTTTGGCGGCTAACATGACGCAAAAGAACAACTGGTCCACAACCCCTAAACACTAAAGCCCCGATTCCAACCCTGAACCCTTATCAAACACAAAACCCCAATCGTAAACCCTAAACCCTAATCTAATCCCCCCCATCACATTTCAACGCAGAAATCGCTCTCTGTCGAGGCCTCAGACTAAACCCTAAACCCTATAAGCCCTGCACGCTATAAACTCTAAACCCCGAAACCCTAACCCGTAAACTCGAAACCCCGAAACCCTAAACCCTAGAAGCCCTAAACCCTAGAAACCCTAACAAACCTTAGAAGCCCTAATAAACCCTAGAAACCCCTAATAAACCCTAGAAACCCTAATAAACCCCAGAACCCCTAATAAACCCTAGAAGCCCTATTAAACCCTAGAAGCCCTAATAAATCCTATAGAAACCCTAGTAAACCCTAGAAACCCTAATCAACCTTTGTCGAGGCCTAGTAATTCCCAATATAGAAACCCTACATTCTACTACAGAGGTACTTTGGACCCTTAAACCCTAAACCCCGATACTTCCCTTATAGAAACCCTTAAAGAGACCCTTAAAGGAGGTACTTAATTAGGACCCTTTGGGGTATAGGTACTTTGAGCCCTTAAAGAGACCCTTAGGGTTTGCCGAGGCCTCCGACTCCAACTCGAAGCCCACGGCCAGGCACTCGGGCAAGCAGAGCTCCCGCGAGCCCAGCCCAGGCGGGAAGGAGTCCAAAAGAGCCTCCAAGGTGACGCTCTAGGATTTAGGGTTTACGTTTTCGGAAGTTAGGGGTTTAGGGTTGAGGGGTTTCGGGGCGAGGGTTCCAGTTAAGGGCTTTGACTTGACGGTTTCGGTTTAGTTTAGGGTCTACTTAGGGTTTGCTAGGGTTTTGGCTTGCCGGTTCAAGGGTTGAGGATGCTTCTTGTGTTTTGTATGTCTTTTGTTTTTTCTGGTTGTGCTTGGATTCTCGTGGGTAGGGTGGGAGTACCACTGTCCTTTTAGGGGCCGGACTTGGGACTTCGTGAAGAGTGTTGTGGGGTTTTAAAAGGCTTAGCATGTGAGGCTTGGCATTGTACTCCGGTGCGGCACAACTACGAAAAATGATAACAGATCCGTGCATACATCAATACATGCGAATGTATGTAAATGTACGTATATACAATTGCAGACCTACTTAAGGCACTTGTAGCCGTACTCACTGTGTTACTATGTCCTTGGATCCTTCCAGTAGAGCTTGCTTCTATCGGCATCAAGGCTCAGACGACAAGCACATAACCCAACAAACTCAACATGATCTCTATATACAAGCAACAGTTCACATTAACATTTAACGCGCTAGCCATATACTATAAGTGCTACCCCTTGCTTATCACCCTACTTACTAAGTCCCCTGATCCTTGAAGTAAGGACTTTCGGAGCAGGTGTGTTAGGATGGATCCGAACCATGAAAACCTGGTTGACCTCTTTAAGGGTCCTTTGAAAGGACTAGGTACTTGGGTTAGGATAGTAGTTAGCTTTGGCAGTGTGATGGTCGGGAAAGTATCTGATTATTAGGTACTTGGACCCTTGTAGGGATAGGTACAGAAAATACTCCTCGCGCAGGCCTGGTCTCGGAACTCCAAGGCATCGGGTCCGTCCGCTAGCACGAGGGCATGACAGGGATCGGTGGCCTTGTGGCGGATGTAGCTTAAGGGTGTTTGCGAACGTGTTGCAGGGCCTAAGTCTGTCGTAGGGCTCACCTGATAGGGCTTTACGGGGTTCTTTTGGGTTTATAGTCTGGTTAGATTGCTATGGGGGTTTTTAGGGAAGTCACGGAGTCTGCTGCAGTCAGACGTCTACGTAGTGTTTAGGGTCAACGGCTTCCGAGTGCATGGAATCTCCTAAACCCTTAGCACGAGACCAAAGTCTGCCCAAGCTTTGGGGCCAGGACCTAATGGAAAGCTACAGCCCTGGACCAGTAAGCCAAAGCAAAAAGCATAAGAGGAGAGGACAGGTTGTAGGAATCATGATTTAGCAACTCGAACATAGGATTGATTCTGACGGCTCTAGATGGCTATGAGGAGGAATCCTGGACACAACACTGCAGAATCGTATGTTGACCCGTGCTTGACAAATCCACTCGTCGTCAGGAGCATCATCGGGGTCCTAACACTACGGCCCTTCACATTCAAGCACATGGGTTTGCCAATCCGGGGTCTGGACTAAACCGCTATCGAGTCCTTCTCAGTCCCTCACCATGCTGTCTCAAAAGCCGCTTTCACCGCGCCTGATAAGTCTACGTAGCCCTTCAAGCCTAAAAAAACCCTAAACCCTGTATGCAGAGGCCTTGATAATTTGAATAGGGTTCTGGTGTATATTAGACTAGTAGTTGCATTAAGGAACCAGCAGCGTGGTGTTGGCATTTAGTCAGGCCTCTCTGTTACCCACCCTCGAACTTGAATCGTGGGTTCCCTAAACCCTAAACCCTATATCTCGAGGTCACCCAAGCAGCGAGTAACGACTGCAGCTTCCCGACTCCTCGTGCAGCAAAGCTATGTGTCCGTTTGCAGCCTTGCTGTTCAATGTGTAAACTGCCCGAAACCTGAGACGAACAAGGCAACAGCGCAAGTGCTGGAAAAGAAACCAAAGCGTGCAAGACCATGCTTTGACGGCCCCCCGATGATGCTCGGGTCTCGGGGTCCAGTTAGGGCTGCATACTTCGGGTGTTGAGTTTAGGGAAGGTTCAGGGTGTAGTGTTAAGCTCTTAGGATTCATGGTTTAAGGCTCAAGGTTTAGGGTTGTGGCCTGCAGTTTAAAAGTCTGCTTCCATTATCTGTCACACCTGGTCGCGGCGTACGGCAGTCGGTCGTTTGAAGCAACATCTTATTTACCCCAAGACTTGAATCTTGCAAATTGTAACCTCGAACTCACGGCCCA